TTAGATCGCCTCGTTTCTTTATTTTATTGTAGTTTGTTTTTAATCGCTTTGATGTTTGCGTAATACTCGAGAACTTTGCATTTTCGCTATAAAACCGATGCGCGATTGGTCCAAGAGTTGCACCATTTCAATTGGCGTAGCGCGAGCCGTACTGTTCACCAATTTAACCTTCCGGTGGTATTGCTCCACGGGATTGTTAGTTGTAGCGTAACCTGGAGGTGTGTGGAATGCTTGCCATTTGGAGAATCGAGGGTTGTCGAACTACTGGCGGCGAATCTTCTTAGCAACAGCTCAAAAACAAGCAGAGGTCTCGCCAATAATCATCCAATTATTCACGATATTTGCTTTCTTCTGATCAAACTCGTTCTCTGATCTGCAGAAGTGAAGGTCGTTCAAATCACTAAATATTCGATTTCGCTGCTGTTTGGGTAGTTTTCGGGATATTTTCCACACGTTCTGACAAACGTGATACCAGCACATAAGAATTTTGGTGGTGGATAACTCACAGATGCATGCATTGTACTGACTATTGTCAGCGTTAGTCATCATGTATTGCGGAGAAAATCGAGTTCCTAAAAGCTGAAGCATCACGCGTTTTAGGTACGATAGGCACCAAGCAACATCTTCAGCCTTCCTTTGCGATGCACAGTAATACACCAGTGGGAAGAAATGTCCACAGCAGTCCGAATATCCAAGGATAAACACGCTATAACGTTGTCGTACCAAGTTGTGTGTGCTATCTACGTGAAGATTAGTGATGCAGCGAGGATCTTCCAGCACTGTAGCATACGCTTCCAGCAGTGAATAGCACGTGAGTCCCATTCGAAAAGGTGATTCATCAGATGCATTTCCAATGTTTGGCACGAGGTTAACATTTTCGTAAATAGAGTCGCAAAACACGAGTAATCCATATCTGTCTTGAGCCGGTTGATGGCTCAACTCGAACTTTGATCGTGCACAAATTTCAACAACCGGTAGCGTCGAGTCATCTCGATGTTTTGCTCGCCAACGCTTCATGTATCCTTGTACTTGTGTCTCAAGCGGTGGTGGCCCGCGCAACTGGGAACACAACCGGGTAAACACGAGATAGGGAGTCACACCAGAATACATCGTAATTTCATTCTGTACAAAGACTTTCATCTCTGCTGTCAGTTTTGCCACTCGCGGGGAACTTTCGCCTGCGTCCAACATTGAGTGTTGTCCGTCTTGATGTACGGTCAAAAGATCGCTTAGGTCGCAAGTATTGATTTTGTAGCGACATTTACATGTTCCAACAAGAGCACAACGGGCAGAGGTACATTTGGTCAAGACTTTGCGCATCATGTGTCGTTCCTGAAGTACCATGTTGTCACCGAGAGCGGTATGGTGCATTGTACACGGGTAACAGTCATTTTTCACTGTAGTCCGACTAGGTAAGCTTGCCATAAATCCTTCTAGCGTGCCTCCAGTGGATTGACTTGACCACCAAATGAGCTGCCAGGTTTGTGCCTGCAGAAGCTTCAGTGTGAGAACACATCGTAGAATACCTCTAACAAATAATAATGTTATAAAATAGAAGAGGTCCGGCTGTTGACTGGTGATTTGTCAGGGCTGGTTCAAACGGCCGCCGTCCGCAAATTGGAGTAGAACTCACAATAAGCGCACAAAGAAAAGGAAGCGAGCTTCGGCAGCAACGAGCAAAGCGACTCCACCACGGCCGACGATAGAGACGGAATGTATGCAGCGGCGATTCAGCCTCCAATTGAGATGCAGCGAACGCTGGTATCGATCTAATGCTGGATAGAAGCAGTTGATAAACCCCCGTTAGTGTTGGACTTCTGTAAATATGACATGAGACAGGAATTGATTTCCCTACCCCTGACTCCGCTCGTCCCATCATTTGAGCAATCGAAGCATAGTAAAACCAGTTCAAAGCGGCTACTAAACTGGCAACACAGCTAAATCGATCGCCTTCGTAAGTAGTTGTGCCCATATCTCAACATTGTAGCAATCGGTACCTTAAAAATCACAAAAATTACGCAGTGCTACCTCTTTGTAATGACACAAGTAGCACCTCAATCTGATAATTTCTCTTTATGCACATTAGAAAATATATGGACTACATACTCGGTACTTTGACGTAATGTGTGTGGACTACAATAGGTAGTGAGCATGATCAAAGGTTTAAGACACAGGATCTCTCTCGCATAAACGACAGCGATTCACGATAATGAGATGCCGCCTTCTATTCTGTTTTAATTATTATTCACTGGATATTTATATCAAGAGTTTAGGCGGGATCGAGACCTGTCGTAGATCCTATTTAAACGAATAATCGGATACTTGTGTAACCACTTCAATTTTACTAAGAGTAAGATTAACTGACGAGATACTGGATGATATCTGATATTCTGTGCGAAAGAGGGTGAATATTGACCTAACGGTGAAGAACAACATTCGCATAACTTGTAACTAGAGCAACAATCGTGCAATACTGTAGCGACATTGCTTGATTTCAGCATTCCCCTGTCGCATGACTTCTCCAGTTTATTCTGACTAGGGCGTGTTGTGCTTTTATAGCGGGTAGAACTACGGAGTATTATCGCTAAGTATTAAAAGGGGGGATCTGACACTGTATTAAAACCATAACATATGTTGTAATCGTGGGTCCAACTCGACTACAAATCCCAACACTGCGGCTGTGACACTGCCGCAAAGTAGGCGATACCTACTCAAATTTCTCCTTCTTCGAAGTTCTGGCCTTCTTAGAGCATCTTCACCTGTGCTGCTATCCTGCTGCCAAAGCCAAATTTAGCTGCGAAAAATTGCTTTTACGCCTCTACCACTCCTGCTATCCGAGCGACAAATTTAGCTATGGGCCTTCTAATGCCAAACTGGAAGCCAAATTTGGCCTTCAGAATAGTAGCGGTCAAACAGCGGCATGCAGAGCAGCGCGACGCCTTCGAAGGCGCACGGGGTCAACTACAAGCCTGTCGAGGGCAAGACACTGTGTAAAAAGTGGTTGTCCGCGGCCTGCGACCCAATAAATGGCATCTATCAATCCTGAAGTCGACGGTTGCCGAACGCCCCGTATCCTCACTAAATTCTCGATTCCAAACGATTTCTCAAGCTGTTTCAAAGTTCGGCGCCTGTCATGAGAAGGTCCTCAGAGTCTGCCAAAGTGGAC